CCACATGGAGGAGGATCCCCAGTGGTGTGTCGCGGACTGGCGTCTTGGCGGGATAACCACACGGCTCGTGGATGAGTTGCCGATTGGGGACGGGGAGCGGGAGCGGGGGGGTGAAGGAATCTTTATACTATTTTGGCACCTCTGCTGATTAAACAGCGACGAATTTTGTGACACATGGAGGACATTTTGAGTTTTTAGACGGATTCAAAATGGAACGAACACTTTCATCCTCGCTATCTTTCGGAAAAGAGTTGTATTTTTTTAAGCATAATCTTTTTCCTAAAATATCGTATCACGGCGAATAGTGTGAACGAGAATCTGACATAAAATGGACTATTTCCTTTTCATAGATGTGTCCATCGAAAAAAATCTCAACCCAAGTCCCAAATGACTTTCAAACGCCCGATCGCAGCGCTCTCACACAGAGGCACGCCCAGCGCGTTGCTTGTGGGCCTCCGGAGCGCCAGAGCGTCGGCGGCGGCAGCAGCTGCGAGCCAGGCCCCGCACCTGTCCCTCGGCCCATCTGCCGGGCGGCGGGTGGGTGGGTGGCGGCTACGGCGGCGGCGGCGCCGACAAGGCCGCCCCGAACACGCGCCTCACAAGGCGGAGGCGGCCGTGGCGGCCCGCCCGCAGGCCACGGATACCTGCGCGCCCAGCGCCCGCCCCGCCAGCCCGCCCGCTCGCTCACCGCGCCGCGCTGCTCTGTTCTCCTCGCCGCGTCGACCGCGCGCTCGCGCGCATCCTGCGTTACGTCACCCACGTTCAACGCCCTGTCCGCGCCGCAGCCGCGATGCCGAACGAGCGAGAACGCACGCTCGCTCCTTTGCTGCTCCTGCCAGCCTGCGCGTATACACGAGCATCGGCCACCAGCACCAAATAAACGCAAAATTTTCAAAATTCAGGACAATGCTTTTTTGGGGGGGGGGCACTTGATGCAATGAGTGCAATGACGCAATGTCTGGGTAGAAAAACAAATGCCATTCCATACAATTATTCTTCAAAAAAATGTTTAAAAAATAGATTCCGAGTTTGAAGTCGAATTTGAGAATAAACGACCTGTGATAAGCTGACTAAATAGGAAGCCATACAGTGTATACTAAAGTGATTTCGAAAATTCTAACGTGAAAACTGAATTCTAACGTGGTCATTCATTAAAAACCCTTAGTTTTTAAGCGTGAGTCGGTCCTAGCATTCGTTGATATCTATAGTTATTTTTCGTGGTTCCTTAAACGTGCCCATTTGTTGACAAACAAGGATGTAAACAATCCCTCAAGGCATACTTTTCAAAACTATGCTGGCCATTCATTTTTCTCCCTCCATTAAAGAAACTTAGATAAAAAATAGATGAAAAGCATACAAGACGTATCACTCCTCCATTATCAAGCGGAATAATTATGGTGGTCAAGACTTCACATGTTCGCACACCATTAGAAACTAGACTTCGCTAAGCAAAGAGCTTATTATGACTCGTTTCCCAACCGCCACGCAATAAAATCCGTAGGAACTACAGAGAACTTAGAAAGGCGTTTACATTTGTTTATTACGTGGACACCGAAGTTCAACCTGCCACAGTCAGCTGTGGCCGTAATAGGCATTGATTTACGCAGCAACGAGAGCGCGTGGGCTGACCCGCAGCCCGTCCCTAGGCGGAGCATGGCCCGCGCGCTCGGCTGCAGTCAGTCGTCGCCCAAGTCGCAGCGCATACGCATCGACGTGGATGCACCGACGCACCGTCATCCGATGAATAACTTCTGCACTCCCAAGCTTTACACCGTGAATAAAATGGCAAGCTTGAAAACAAAAGCCAGCACCTCTCCCGATTGAACGTAATATACGTGTTTGTTTACACTGAGATAAAACGGCGTCATGTTGGTGGGAATACAAAAGATACTGATAATAAGAATGAAAAAGTAATGATATGATACTCAACTGTTTATTGTTATTTGAATGACGCAGTAATTTGTAAGATCAACATAAACGAGAAATGGGTAAGGAATACTAACACAAAAATCAATTAGAAAAATCAGTGTCACATTACACAACAAAACACGTTTCAGATTCCCTCCTTTAACATAAAATACAATAACTTTACGACAATATGCTCTCCAATTACTAATTCCGTAGCCAAAACATTTACCATCAATATTTACATTTTTCGAGGATAGCAAACCCAGTTCTTAAAGCGGTACATGTTCCCGGAGCGCAGCTGACGAGCGTTCGCACTGGGGAAGGCCTATCAGGCGTGGAGGGGTTCGAGCGGGATCCGCAGGGTGCGAGCGAAGGCCGCACGCGCGACCGGGGCGAGGGCGAGGGCGAGGGCGAGGGCGAGGCGGCGCCTCGAGGGCCCAAAGGCGCTCCAAAGGGCGACCGCGGGCAGGCGCCTCAATGAAGAGAAAACACAAGTGGGCGGCTATTACCGAATTCCTGGCCGCGGCCTTCTCTCCTCCTCTTCTCCTCCCGATCGCAGGTAGAGAGGAGGAGCAGCCCGAGCGAGCTAACGCCGCCACCCTCGCCCGGGAGGACGGCCGCCGAGCGCGGGCGGGCGGGCGGCCCGGCGACGTTGCCACATCCTCTCGCCGCGCCCACGTGGGTCCGCCCGCCCGCCCGAGCTGCACGCGAGCGCAGGAGCCGCGCGTATTTTTAGAAGCGCGCGCGCGCGCGCGCGCGAGAGCGAGCGAGCGAACGCGTCTCGTCCCTCTGTCCGGCCCCGCGCGCCGCCGGGCCATGCCGTCCCGTCCCGTCGCCCACGACGATGGGTGTTAATTCGTTCCAGAATCTCGCGCGCCGCATCGCCCTCCCGGGCCCGCGCCCAAAGCCTCCCCGACCGCCGGGCAGCGCGCGCCCGCGGCCGCCCACGCAACGTCACACGATCGCCGCTGCCGAATACACGCGTGCCTCCCGAAAAAATTAAGCTATTGTCCAATAAGCAGCAGCGGGTCCAGAGGGGGGGGGGCTGGCCTCCCTCATAAGGCCTAGAGTTTTTGTTTACCTTCCTTTATTTGAAAGAAATTCATTTAAATATTCTTTAGTTAGAATTATGTAATTATTCAAACAATATTGTATAATAAATATACAGTATAACAAATATGTTCATTATTTAACAAAAATCTATTATGCCCCCCCCCCCCAAATGGATCCGCCAAGAACTACCCAACGCGTCTGTTTCAAAAGCAAAGCGATTTGTTTGTAAACAAATGGACAATAAAATGGTGCTGAAGAGGTTTACGGAGCTACAAAAAAGAACTAAGTAATGAAAACTAATGGTATGGATCGGCACACTCCTATTAACCAAGCATTATCAATTAATAATCTCCTTACAATTCAGGGTTCTCCAAACTGCACTTACATTTTCCAAATCGACTTGCATCGTTATGGACTTCATGGTTGATTTTTGACTTGGCTGTTGAGAGAAAGCTTCAGCCAAAAATTTATTCCCAGATGTTATTTTCGAGTCTTTTTAATTGGAAGTAAGATCATAAGCATGTTGTTTTACGACCCCCACATTATATGCCACAACTCTTTTAGAGGAATAGTGTCTGCTATACGCCGTATGCATTTTTATTTCGTCTTATTGCTAGTCATTTCTTCTCAAATTTAACTTCTAATTCTGGAGCTACTCGTTTACGAATCTATATAGGCTTTCACGACCGATGTCAATATAGTTCCCAGGTCTGATCCTTGCCCCAACGGAACATTTTTTTCTTCTTCTTCTTCAGATGTTACGTGTGTAGCTACTGCGAACATCAGGAGTTAGCATACCGGGAAACAAATTTATTTATAAATGAAATTCAAAAAATGCCTGCACCATATCAATACTACATAAAGCCGGCACCAACTTTGTCAACAAATTACTTCCGAAATGGAATTATTTAAGAACCGTTTCAGTTTTCTTTGTTACTAATAAAGGTAAGAAACTTGTGAAAGTAAATGTATATTTTTTTTCCCTTAATTTGCAGGCAAGTTCCTCACAACTGAAATGTTCGAATGAACAGCTTGTATGCAACAAGAACCATTTAACAATATTCGATGAAGGCATCTATTACAAAACAAACCAGTAATCTTTCAAAATATTCAGCTACGTTCGAGGAAATAGCGTTTCAAAAGTAGAGGCATTGTTGAAAAACTCAAACGAACGCTTTACATTCTAAGCTTCCTTAACATCAATGCAGAGTGTTTGAGAAATGGCAATATAAAATACGAATTTAATGCACTAACAATATCAGAACCCCGCACAATCATTGAACGGTAAAAGATCCAATATCCAGCTCTTATTTATCGAACTGCAGTAGTCATATTCTTTCTCGCAATACCATGGCAATACACTAAACGTGGTAAAGCACCTACGAATTGTTGCTCTTTGAGCAACTGACAAATTCGCAGAATGTGTAATTAGCGACTTATGTAGATTGCAATATAAAAGTATGAATATGATCTTAACCTACAGCATGTCATGGGTACATATTAACAGGTGAAGTTTCTCTTAACATACATGTAAACACACAAAACCGTCAATCTGTTTTCATAATAGGGATTATAATTCTATAAAACAAGTCAGTCATTACGCTACTTTTGAGATAAAATGAGAACGAACGTAGCCCGTTCTACAAATGCTTGTTGTTCATCTGTTTCTTAGGATTTAATTCGCAATACCCGTACTTTCCCCCATGGAAAACAAAAACCGTATTTTCTCCACGCATTTCCAGAATATCCCCGGTGCTCGTAGCACGAACTGGTCGGAGGAGGCCAGAGCTTAGGAGAAGGGAGAAAACCTCGTCGCTGGGTCCGCGTCTGCTACCTGCGTCCTAAACCCACCTGCTCGGGTGTCAATTATTTACTTCTCAGAAGCAGACAAAAGCACGGGCTCCGGGTCGTCCCAAAATACCGTTCGGGAGAACCTTCACCGCGCACTCCCTCCGCGTTTTACCGAGCGGGGAAGGAAACGGCTCACCTACAACTTTCGCAGAGCAAAGCTTCATAAAAGGAAAGTGCAACTGTCCCGTTACAGAGATTATTTCCTTCCCAAAATATCACGTTGCCCCCGCTCACGCCAGGAATGTCGCAATCTTCAAAAAGAAGTTTGCGGTAACTGCAAAAATAGTGCGATTTAACAATGCACCACTCTTGGAAGCACTTCGATGTTAATAAAGAAGAGTAATATCTCCTTCGAATCCTACGGCAGAAGTCAGAGGCTGTTAAGCATCGCTGAAGCAGTTTCCCTGTCTAGAGATACTGAAATTAGTTTTCAGGTGGAATTGTTACGGAAGTAATAAGAAAAGGGGCATGCAATGCAGCAATTAAAGCAATAGCTTCTTGTTTGGGACAGGCTGCCGAAGCCAAGAGGTAGCAATTAGTTATATGGACGTAACTCGCATCTTAATTCGAAACCTTGAATGAACATAATACCTAAAGTGCTGTTACTCAGCATCACATTTTGAAGATTATTACAATCTTAATTCTAAGTGTTTAACTACCCAATAGGAAGGACAACACAACATTTTCATCATCCCCATTAAATCAACCGAACCCCTATTGACACTATGCTCTCTAAATCGTATGGAATACAAGAGGAGACGCAATCTGCAAACATTTTGAACCCCCCCCCCCCCAAACTCCCGTCTCCGTCACGTCTCGGAACCACGCCCTTCCCTAGCGACGCGTCTGTCATCGGCCGCGCGTAGCCTACATCGAAACACAACAAACACGCGCCGCGGCGCTCGCGTGAGGGCGGGCGGGGCCCCGCCGCCGCGCATTGATCCCGCTGCCGACGCCGCCACCCACCAACTCCCCCCTCCTGCCACACCACCCCGCACAGACAGATTTAACGCCAAAACCGGTTAAAATTCCTGATGTACTTTGGGAAGAACTGTCTTATGTACACGTTTCTTAAATTCTGGGATCCCTACTCTATCCCATACAAAAGTTGGGATTCGAATAAGTGTTTTGGATGGAAATAAAGTGTTTTGGTTATGAATTGTTAAGAAAATATTCGTAATAAAAATTTGCAAATGTAAATCAGCTATAGATATTGGCAATTATCCCTCATCGTGCCCTTCGTGAAGAAATAAGAATTCCTGTCGCGAAAACATCTAGAACAATTTCAATAATTATATTTTTCACAGAACTCTTTATATCAGTTGTGTTTTAAGCGACCCTCCAAACGTTCGTGGAGAATACGGACGTTTCTTCTGGAAGCTTGAATTCCCACAAAACTATGCATTGTGTACTAGTGAAATCTGTTTCCAACACGAAATCGACTCTGAACTATTGATCTCTAGCCTAAGTTAATTCTTGGAATCACTTTACAGAAAATATGTCGAAGTCAACACTTTGAAACAATAACACAGCAAAATAAATTCACAACTTTCGCAGAACAGAAGAGTCCACCCTTCTTAACTCTAAAATTTAGACGGCAAGGCATACTTTTGTAACATCATTAATTTAAATATTTTTAGTTTTCATTAAGATCAACTGAATTGCTCGGACCGTTAAGAAAGAACAGGGCTTGGAAAAAGGCACAATAGGCATCGATCGGGATCTAGAAACTTCTGCTGCCCAAGTTGGTTTTATTTTCGAAGGGAGAAGGGAGCACGCAGTCCTAAGGGAAAGGACGCAGAGCCACTACTCGCCCGGGATGCTGCAAGTTGCAGGCACAAGGGGGTTGCCATAGAAACCGTTGCTACGGCAACAGACAACCGCAGTGTTCGTTGGGATGGCACTAGCACAGACACAGGGGAAAAATGTCACGTGATTGTAATTAAAATTCCCGTCCCCCTTCCTCTTTAGAGGCAATGCCGGGCAAGCCCCCGTCCCTGGTGCTTCCGTAGCTGCGAACAGCTTGACACTTTCGTAAGGATACGAACATCACATCCACGGGAATGGATGCGCGCACAGGATAGAGGCAATGAATTCGGCGTTGCCAAGTTGCTTCATAACACACCCACTATTGATGTATCCGGAGAAGTTTCATTCAACTGTTACAAAACTGTTGCAACCGGATACGCATTATCCCCGTCAATTAAAATATTCCAACAGAATCAATGTCAGAACTGAGACGGTTTCAAACAAAAACTAAATTCAGGTGCAAACTTGACTTACTCCCTACGTCCTCATTACAAGTACAATAATTACTTAAATCAATACTACAAAATGACGTTATGACCAATCCACACGCATGTTTCGGTAATTTTGAATGAACACCTGAGAATCATTTCTTTCTCCGCGCTAGCTCACTCTCGCTTCACCTCGACCTTGAATCCACCAAGACAGGTTCTGCGGTTCAACGTTCCAAGGAAAGGGAAACCAAGAATGCGAGCCTGAATGAACGTGTATGTAGTGGCGAACACTTCTTATCCGATTGTTGCATTCAAAAACTGCAAGTTAACATCCACTCACGATTGCATATACGTTAAGTCAGTATCTTCAACTATTCATCCCCCAAAACAATTCTATCACAATTTGAAACAACACTTAAGGACGTGAACGTTATGAAAAAAAAGGTTGTTACAATGACATCTATCTAGCAACACAAAACTGCAACTTACTACCACAGACTAAAATACCTGTAATATTGACATGCATATTAATCAAAGATCGAACCATGATAAAATCACGCAATTTTAATTACAGAAATATTTAAAAACTGTCTGACCAATCGTCTTTGTTCAGAAGTTCGTAATAGACAAATACCCATAAAATACAACATCGCTGCATGCGGCAAAGTTTTTTCATTTAATCAAACCGACTTTTCACAATTCAAAACACGAGTAAAATCGTATACGTTACCTCAAACAAATCCCATGAAAAACACATTCTTAAGAGGGATAGTACCACACGGTAGCATTCGCGATTAAATTCGTTCCGAAGAATCTGACAAGTCTTATAAAGTTTAAATTTATTCACAAAAGAATCTCGGATAACAGAAAGCACGTGGCCGCAAAACCGCGACCGCTGCAACAAACACAACCGCATCCGCGGTAAAGCCGGCTCGACACTATTTTCACTTACAGCCGCACTATTGAAAACACAAGAGGGCACCGTGTTCAGAACGCACTGAGGCACACTATGACACTCAACTGAACAAATCTTCTACCAAAATTTGACGAAGATTTGCTTACCTTGTCTGCCAACAATTTCTGCTACATGTTCCGAGCTCGGCACAGGCACACACTCCGTCATGTTTTGGCTCTTCTTACCCCGGCTTTCGTCGGGGAAGGCAGGCGTAAGAGTCTCGCCAGTTGAAGGCTCAGTCGTTGTGGGTGAGGAATCATTGAATCCTAGCATGGATAACTCGAAAGCTAATTGTAGTGCTCTTTGGTCTTCAAGACCGCTATTACTTCCATCCATTTCGGAAAACAGACTAGCAGGCATCACAGGATATAAAGGAATTATTACAACATACAATAAAAAGAACACTGTACAAAAATAAAACTCTACTCTTTAACGCCGCTGTTTGAACAATGCTCGGCTCGTGCGCCGACACAGAGTGGCCGGCTATGAGACTGGACTGCACTGCCTGTTTAGGTTAAAGGCATGTGCTCACGAAACGTCACGGCTCTTTGACGCAGTTTTTCACGCGGTAAATTCAAATCCGGCATTCTCATTGGCTGAACGAAACCATGTGACTCTCCCGTCCTCCCGCCAACAAGTTTCCAATTGGACACCCTCTCCCTTGTCTTTTCCCCACCACAGACCCAGAGTAGCGAGAGTGGGAACATGGCGAAGCTAAAATTACGAACCGGCTTCGTCGCTCCGGCCGATCGTTCGATGTGGATGTGACGGTCCGTCTGTTGTTTGTACGAAAGGAATTAGGCGAAGAGATGCTTAGAATAACTTGCAATCGAATAGTTATACTGATTAAAAACTTAAAAGAAAGTTTGTTTATAAAGAAATAGCATTAAACGTATTTGTATTTAACGCACAATGCCGGTGTTTTGTTTTTAACGTGCTTCCAAGTCCGTTGTGTTAGGCTCACTTCAGGTTTGTTGTTGGGTAATGAATTCAAATAAAACTATTGTTTTTAAGTTGTTTCGCAACGTAAGTGGTGGAATATTTTATATATAGGATAGAATAAAGGATAGAAGTTAACTTCGAACGTGCCCATAACTTCTGTTGCGCTTCTTTTGTTACGTCTAATTTTCAGTGGTTTTTCCCCATAAACTTAACATAAGATCTAAATCTTTTGAATTAAATTTGCCTATCATTCATTCTACCAAGAAGAAAATGTTTCCAGTAAGTAACGTCTTTCATGTTTCATAGTTTTTCAAATATTTAGTTACAAAGAAGACTAAGGAAACAGTCAAGTCATTGAAGTACTTTTCCTACACATACTTCCCTGTATCTTGTGCAGTTCCTAGATTTTGATAATTATTTGGATCAGTGTCTGCCCTTTTCCTTCCATTTGGCAGATAAGTAACTATTCAGGTTCTGAAATCCACAGGTACAAGGGGAACAAGTAAAAAATAACCAAACACTGTTTAAAAATTCATTTATTTAGAATACTTTAGAATATATATATTTACACAAGTTTAACAGCAGAATACAAAAGACATAAAATGTATCTGCTGGAAGTCACGTCATACCAACAATAAGAAATCTTTTGCAAAGACCTTCACTGTGAAGACCTTAAAGTAATGTTTATGCAACAAATCTCTTTAGGGCATCTTGCAATTTCTTGCGTGCTGTTGCAACTCTTTCCTCTTGTCTTTTAATATCTTCATCTGCAACAGCAACTGCCTGCAAAAACAAAATATTCTGTATCAATAAAAAAAATTGGATAACTGAACTGCACCCTTAAGAAGAGTGCAAAAATTTCTTAACAGAATTAAATTTAAGCAAAGGTTAAGAAATTGTGACAACTGTATTCTTTATCATTGCATGTTACCAATATAAAAATAAAATGTGTTTTCATGCACTAGAAATTCAAAAACATTCAGTATTTTCTACTGGATTCACTACTGCTTTACCATTAATTTGCTGTCACCCCAATGAGCACTTTTGTAAGTATACCAATATTTGTAATTATGCTCCAAACATTTATTTTTAAGTTTAACCCAACATTTATGCATTTCATAAAAAATTACAGTTCTTAAATTTTGTTTACTCAATACTGTTATTACTATTACAGAATACAACATTTGGAATACTAAAAATCAATGGATTAAGAAGTAAAATTAATGTAATAAGAATTGTCATAGTCAGAACATATCTATTACTACACCTGGAGTCTAAAAAAGTGTTTTATTTGAACCACTGCAGAAGTAGTCTACCAACTCACAAAAGAAACATAAAAGGGAAACTATACACATTACCAAGCTTTAATAAAGAGTGCATGAATATCCTGTTGTAGTTAAAGTGTATTCCCTCCACAGACATATTTGACTCATTCATTATACACCTTCCCAATTGTCTATGCGACTCCATAAAATATTATTTGTACAATACAAACAGCCAAAATTCCATTAAAATCTCATTAGATGACGTAAAGAAAATTCTCCAAGCAGTTTCAATGTTTTAGAAATGTATTAAACTGATTCATTTCATTTAAATTTATTTCCACCTCAAAATCATAATAATACCCAGAACCTATGGCAGGAAATAGTTTGTCATGAATGCTTAATTGTTTCCCCAAAGACTTAACCTGCTAGGCTTGCTCCACTTGTCAAGAAACTCTCCATTCACCTACGAGCAACTGCTCTTTGAATGTGATCTTTCCAGAGGTTTTACATTGGATGCTTTCTGTTAACTTTATTGTAAAACACAACTCATTATAATAAAATACATAAAGCCATAAATAAAATTCACATTAATTCAAAAACTATCAAGTGAAGATGCGCATCCTCAAAAATATTTCTGATTGGCATTTCATTCAAGATAATTCAGGTACATTTTCAGACATCACAAAAGGAAAATAATTATGAAAAGCATTATTTCACATGGAGCAAAAAATGAAGTATTTTTCTCTTTTCTTCAGAGTTTTTTCTGAATTCACAGAAAGAATCTGCTTCTAATTCACAAAATGAAAGGAATAAATCAAGAATTCATATCATATTTTGCAATACTGCCGCAGAGAAAAACTAATTGCATAGAAAGTTTAGTACCTGGGACTGGTGTATGTACATCGTATTTGTTTTTGTATTGCTCTTCTGAGAAGAAAAAATAGTGCACAACACTCATTTTTATCCATGTGATTACCTGAACAAGAGGTTGGTCTGGGTTGAGAAACACCCCTGGGTTTTTCTCAAGGGCTGACCGAGACCCTGTCTGACCAGTGACAGGCTGGGTGGATACATGAAGCGCTGTAGCCACAGACTGTAGCAGTGTTTCCTCACCTACATGAGGGCCCACAGCCCGGAGTGCTCTGGGGAGCTCCATTGCATCAAACTCAAAACCATCCAGATCACATGCACGCAATCCTTCCAGTCGCTTCTCCCAGAACAGCTGAAATCAAGTGTAGAGGTGAAATAAGATGTAATTATTCTCAGAAACCATTACAGAAATTGAAATGAATATAACCAAAAATACATTTACTCTTCCAAAGCACTATACCCCAGAGTGAGACAATTTTCCTTACAATTTCCCTTAGTTCCAATGGCTAAATGCTTATTTCAGTTCAACATATGAACGTGAAAATGTTTGGGGTTGGGGGATCAGTTACATCAGAACTCTCAAAATCAAGAGATCCACCTATCATGTCACCTAGCAGGTGAGACAGGATATTACAGCAGAAAAAATAATGAGTTTGCTGTTGCCTTTCAAATGAAAACAACCTGCATACGTGAGAAACATGTTTTTATTTAGTTTTGTGAACATGGAACTGAAAAATATTTAAAGGAATACTATTTGAAGCAAAATAATTAGCACAAGAGAGTAACAGTATCATTTGTCACAAAAGAACCCATTGAGAATCATTTCTAACAAATCAAATTTAAATGAATTAATCAATAATTTAGTTTTTAAGCTCTGAATTCTGCACTCCGCAATAAGCAATTCTTTCATTCTTATTATAAAACATTAAACTTGCGTGATGCTTAATTGAACTATTATTATTATTATTATTATTATTATTATTATTATTATTATTATTATTATTATTATTATTATTATTATTATTATTATTATTTTCAAATTTAAACTCCTCCCCATCTAACTACCAAGTATATCAATGTTGTACATACAACGGTATCTTGTTTAAATTTGTAATTCTTTGAGAAGAGTAATTCTAATCAGCATCATGAGATTACATAAACATTGGTGGCTCACTGAAGTCATTTGCATTTTCCACAAAGAAATCAATTTTTGTATGGATCAGTAAAAATGTAGTCTTTAATGTCCTTATTTAATATTAAATTGAACTTCGAACATTTTGTTTAATAAAATCAGAAAGCTTGTACTAAACTGAATTTTTGATCTCTGAATGTCCTCAACAGCTCTTCCACCCACACTAAACCTTTCTGGAGTAAGATAATCATTTAAGCCATATCATGTACTGCTCCCCGTGTAGTCTATTTCCATTTTAATACAACATTTTTCAGTTGTCCTTCCTACGATTTATTCCCCCCCCCCCTCCCGCTTTAAGATTAGTTGCATTACCAGCTTTGTCACATCATATATGTACTTCACACATGCAAAAGAATGAAATACCTACAAAGGAGATAACTTTAGAAGTGCCCTAAGCTAACAATGTAAAGCACAAAGAACCAGGAAACTCATGATCTCCACAGAAATCGCATTATTTAACATTCTATTAATTGACGACCTTTATAAATGATTTAAACAATCTGTGTATGGCCCTGGAGGGGGGAAGGAGAGAAAGAATACTGTAGTTTTGAAAATGTATACCTTCAACAGACAATTACATATTTATTAGATACATAAAAACATTTGTAAATAATAAAAAAATTAAACAATATCATTTAGAGAAACGTTTTGGTTTTAAATATTGCAGAGAAATAACTATTTTGGGGCATCTTCAATAAAAGAAGTGATCAAGATCCCACACACACACAAAAACGTAGATTACTAAGTGCAAATATTTTCTATCAGACAAAATGGACATTAAAGATGAAGTTCATTACATCTTTATCAGGAAGAATAACCCATCAATCATAGTTTCTTGAAATTCCTAAAACCAACCATCTCATGAATATGTCAGGTAGACAAGAACTTGGAATGATCACGCTAACAAACAAATGCAATGTGCCTGGAATTTTACTACATAACAAATTCCATGATCATTGGGCTTAAACTAGTGCCACTTATATTTTATACTAAAAGATCACAACAAAATCACTACAAATTTTGTAAATATGTATTGTGAACAGATTCAGAAATGCCTTAAAAATCCAGATACACGTATAACATTCTTCAATAGAATTATATCTCATCACACTCAACAACTCGTACATTTATCATGAAACTTTGGGTCTACACTAACCACTAATATGTTTTCAAACTCACTACAACTAATTACTCAAAAACTGCCTGTTTGTGAAATGTCTCGGAAGAATGTGAATGAGAGGACATTAAAAGTTTTTAGGGGAGAAAAAAGTTGTTTATTTTTTGTTTTGTTTTATTTTCTTCTTCAAATCAACACCTCCCCATACTTTGCCTTCTCCTGAACATGTTGATATATATTTTCACAATCCTATTCCTTAAAACAATTGAATGAAACTATGCAGCAGACAGGAATTTAAAAACTGAGCTTAACACTTTCTGCATGGAGAAATGAAATTTTAATTATACATGAACTATTTATAAAGTCTGAGATATTGTGGTTGTAGTGAGGCTTTTATGTAATGTGTGATTTATTTTCAATAATAATTGTTATTGAAACAAATAAAAAAAAATACAAAATTTACAAAGGGAAGAAATTTGATGGTTTGCCAAAATTTTGAGGAAACCGGTATTCTTAACCAACAATTCTTGTTAACAATAACACGTATAATGATAATTCCCATGTGAAATCAATTTTAGCGTTTGAAGAGTGAAGAAAATTTCTTAAAAGATAACGATATTCTTTAGTAAATGAAATGCAAATATAGTTTTGTAGATTCCTAATAGTTAAAACAGAATTTTAATACAGATTTAAAGATTAAAGAGAGACATGCTGGAGGATCCAATATGCAAAATTTATCAGCAAACTTTGGAGGAAAGTTACTATAATTTTTATTTAGTTACATCTACCGCAAGAATTATTATATTTTATTATAGAACATGACCATCTTTTTTTACAGAAGTAAGTCTAATACGAAAAACATTAAAATCACCATCACTGAAAAATTGTACCACTTCATAATAAAATATAATAATTCATAACAATTATAGAGTAGTTTTCTGTCCTGGTATTTGTTATTTATGATTTGAATAATTTGTACATAAACGGGGTGAAATAGCCAGTGTTCCCAAAAATTATCTGCTTAAGATGGAGTAGTCTGTATCTCCCTCAATGATTGTGCAGACTTCTGCTTCTTATTTCACACTTCAGCTTTCTATTTGTTTTTCAATCATTTTCCATGTATCAAGTTAAAAGCTTCATACACTATTACTGCAATAACTTTATACTCCAATACTATAATTTTTATTTTTCTCTCAACTACCACCAGTATTAACAGGAAATTCTAAAAACACTCTTCCTTAAATAGTTCTTAAAAATAAAAATGTTAGGTTCATTATAAGTTTCATTTGTAATTTCAAAAATCATGGAAATTTTTAGTGGAACTTCATAATAGGGTAGAATATACATCTTCCTGTTTGAACATGAAGGGTCATGATGCATGGCTTATGGATTATTTTTTCTTTGTTCCTTTTTCTCCTTCATGAGCAATTTCAATTTTGAGGACTTGAAAAAATTAATTATTCATTTTCATATATTCATTCATTCAAATATATAAATTCATTATATATTTGGAAAAGTACTGCTTGTACAAGGTCTGACTTACTATTATTAGGTTTGGGTGATTGTTGGCTTTAAGTAAAATCATGCCAGCCAAAATAGCACACATGGCTGCTGGGACAGAAGCGTCACTAGTGGTAAGCTTGAGAGTACAAAGTCCACATGAGGCTTTAATGTTTTCACTTCATTATTGTGGTAGGATTGGCAGAGGCAAACTTCCATGTACACCGTAATATCATATAAATTTTTAATTATTATTTCATAATTGTATGGTTAAATTTGTCAGTATTCTGGTACTTATCAACTTGACTGGTGTTTTTTTTGCATGCAATAGTAAGTCAGACCTTGTACAAGCAGTACTTTTCCAAGTATATAATGAATTTATATATTTGAATGAATGAATATATGAAAATGAATTTTTTCAAGTCCTCAAAATTGAAATTTTATAAATTTCATTAGTTAATTTAAATTTACTCATTGAGGACAGTGTATTTTTCAACTTAGGTTCACATTTTGAATGATTTACACACAAAACATGGTAATTTCATATGAAAGTTTCCAGTAGATGATGAAATACTCAATCTTTTCAATTTCATGAAATGGCCTATTACATTACTTTACTGATGATGTTTTAACATGAAATAAAGATACAGAAAATGAAGCAAGATGATTTCTGAAATATCTAGAATTACATATCCCAGCTTCATGGGTCAAATACAAACTATTTTGTTCATTACTTTTAATTTCTTAGTCGTAATTCTTTATTCAATATTTCAAATAGTTTATAAACATTTAGAGCACTTTTTTCTTCTAAAGTGATACTAGAAAATAATCATAAGAGAAACATAATAAGTTAGTAAAAACAATTATTTGTACTTTCTGTCCAGTATATTCAATTGAAATATAATAGGGGAGGTGGGGAGAATTGTCTATTTGTAAATTTCTTTTTCTGTATGAGAACACTGAATATCAATAATTTTTAATTCTGCAATTTCAAACTCAGTTCATCCAATGTAATTATTTGGACTTGGGGAAGGCTGCATACAAGATTAAAATAGTAAAACAAAGATTTCATATTTTAATCCTTGCCTACAATTCTCTGTAAAATTTTAATAAAAATGTGAACATCAACATGAACACAACAGTATTTCTTTTCTTTCTATTTAACAATTTTTGAAATTTTCTTTTCATTATTTCCATAATATAGGGAGGGGGGTATGAAAAATTCCTCCCTTCCCCACATACTTTCTCAATCTGACATTTCTTTAATATATCTGTTCAAGCAAGTAGAAAGGATAAATGTTTTACAATCAAAATTGTATTTAATATAAAAATATAACACTTAAACCTGTATGCAACACATGACTAGTAAGTTCAATTTGTGCATCTGAGATCTAGTTTTTCTTACCCCCCACTACTTTACTACATTAACTTGGTTAGTTAATTAAAGTGGCAGCTTGATGAGCCTATACACAGAGGCCGTTCATTTCCTGAAACAAATTTCCCTGACTGGTCGTGGTTTTCTAGTGCATAAAACAAATTCTTGACAAGATTTGTGAATTCACACTATAATTTCACCATGACAATGTACAATTTACCAACATTCTCTCACAAAATAAAAAATAAGCATAAAGTAATGCTGTACTAATGTAATATGTTCAAGGAATAATATTTTTTTATAACCCCCTCAAACTTTTCCCTAACTTTTGAGTATTGTTGTACAAATTCCTTGACTTTTTGCCAGAGCAAATGATTCCTGGTTTTCCATATTTTCCACAAACTGGCCACCTGCTATAATACTATGTGCCCTGCTTTTGGAGAATGCAGGAATGAATTCTGCACACTTTAATCTGAATCCATACAAATTTTCTTTTTTATGTTTTCACTTGTTAAGTTAGAGAGCAATTCAAAGCAATAAAGAACATTCCATGAAATATTCAATTAGCTTCCTTTTAGTTTCTTCTGTTAGGTGTTGTTTGTCTCTATTGTCTGTTCAGATTCTCTGTAACTGAATCTGATGTGAATTTTAATAATATTTTTTTATTAAATACACATTACTCAACTAGTAGCCTATTTTAGAGGAGTCGATCACTGGAGGAGAAACAAAGTTGTGAAATACTTCTTTGAAGAGTGTACCTCTCGAGAAGTATAGCCAGTCATGAAAGTTAGGCATAATCTGACAAATTAGATGAACTACTGTAATTAGTACAGAAGCACTGTAGTATTTTGCATCAATGGAAAGTAATATTACAAAAAGTTTACAAATCACAATATAAGTTATGTAAGTAATTGATAATAAAAAGCAACCAAAAATTAATAATATTTTTAATTGAGAGCATTTCAATAATGTTTATTTGTACAATGGATCAAGGGAAGCTAGAAGAAATCCTATTGAGATTGGAGGACATACACCCAGAGGCAGAAAGAAGTAAAATCATTACAGAGATATTTTATATTTTAGAATCGTACAATAAGAATGGTAATTAAAGCGTTAATATTATTAAAATACCAATTATTCTCTTTTTAATGCTAGTTATAGTTCAATGAGATAGAAACGGTTAGGCAGCAGAAGAGAATTTATTTGCCATTTAAATATTCGATTCAATTTTAATTGTTTAATGTCAACTGGTAATATGTTGTAAAATAAAAGACGTTTTATTTGAGAGTTTTTGTAGAGAGCTGTTGATACTGACACTTTATTATAACAGTGACGAAAAACATTGAGAAAAACTGGAGATTGATGTGAAGAAATAATTCATCTAATTGCATCACAAAGCAAAAATTGTTTGAAGCTGGAATCATTGTCAACACTCCTGCTGGAAAAGACATTCCCACTTTCTTTTATATTCAACAATAACCCTTCAACATTAAAATACAAACAACTTTAAAATCCAATTACAAAGTCATCAGTTTTTAATTCTAAAGAGAGTAGGATATAAGAATATTGTGTTTAATACAAATAATTCAGTTTATTTATTTTTAACCCATACTCATGGATCTTAGTGGCTGTATGCGTAAATTCTCCATTCTCCTTCCAGAATTGTCAATTAATAGTATCAGAATAAGTGCACTGTTGACATGTCAAGTGATCGGTAATCATAATTATTAAATAATTAGAGGACTTTTAAGAACTATGCTGTCATAAGTGTCAATTTTGATTTTGGTATTTTCAAATAGTAAGTATGAGGAGTCTCTAAATAATTGTAACTATAACCGTGACATTGGTAGACAACTGTCAAGTATTTAAAGGAATAAAAGACACTACTATTAGACTACCAGATGAATAGAATCAATGAAGGATATCCAAGAGACTACCCCCAACTGTTTCATGAAAGATCAGACAAGTAAGCAGAGCCTTCAACGCTATCCCAAATTCCTAGAGTTGTTTTACAACAAGATACTGCATTATAAAACATTCTTGATAATGTTTAAAATAATAAAATCATTTTTCGTTGCACATCTAAAGGACCAATATTTTCTGTGCAACAAACTTGGAAAATGTTTTGAACTTTGACACATGCATTAAAGGCAGCTGACATTTTTATTTTATATTTATTTTATGGAGAGATTTTTAATGTTTGTGTGTTTGCATGAACAGCAAAAATCCAATATTCCTCACAAAAATTGTACATTATTTTCTTCATTTCTTGATTCTCTTTTCATAAGAAAAAACTATTTGTGGATTACATTTATGCCCAGAAACCTTCCTAAACATCAAGTATACTATTTTACAAGCATGTCAAGTTACAAACAAAAAAACACCATGAATGCATTGAAGTCCCACTTCTGCTAAAACATACAAACACAAACTCTACTGTAACATGAATTAATTTTAATGCCAGAGGTCATGAAATAAACCTCTGCATTACAATGAGATTTTTTAACTATTTTTTTTAAGAACGAGATTCATATGATTAATTTTTTATTACATCTTTAAAATACTACTTTTTATTCAGCCTTAATAAAAACTGTGAAAGAGCTAAAGAAATAACAATTTTAAATAGTTTCCTAATTTAGTTAGACAAGTTATAAAAATGCATTACAATGTACTAATCAAAACAATGAAGATCTCAAAGTTCTTGTTAACATCACTGCCCTAGTAATAGGAACCTAACAAAGATTATTTTCAAAATCTCCACTGTTATCTCCTGAGAAGTTTGTGATCACAATTTTCTAGTGCAATGAAATCAAATCCTGTACTAAAACCGGAAGCCATTTGAGTTCTCAACTCAACAGTTACCACAACTATTACTTTGCATGATACCACATCTGAACTTTTGAAAAATCAATAACACATGCAATAATCATGTTTTTTAATAGCAATATTTTTTTTTTAACTTTCCAAAGAAAAAAACTAATGTTAGTTAAGAAACTAAATGTACATCATACCAATAAAATTAATACGTAACAGTTATGTTTTGTTATTTCTCTGACCCTACACACTCCAAACCAGAGGATTGGATTCGCTTAAAATCAAAAAGGATTTTCAAAGCAAGTATTTAATATAATCAGTATTAATCATAGAACATTTTAATTATTGGTCTTTGGTCTCACAATAAACAGAATGTTTTTAAATGTATACCTGCTTTGGTTTTTCTTGTGCACCATGTTTAAAATCTGCTTTCACTTTTCCCTCTTGTGTCTTGTACACCGTCACAGGCTGCTTGAAAATCGAAGCTGTCTGGCGTATTGGTGGGACAAGGGAGGCATCGTTTCGCACCCCTCGGCTGAAATCAACCCAACTACTATCACGTCATGCACTGTGCACTACATCAAGATCTGAAAAGGCAAATGTCTTTCATATTGACAATTAAAAAAAAGACATTTATTAACAGAATAAACACAATAAATAAAACCACAAACATGAAGACTTTGTATTATAACTCCACAACATAAAAGCCACAGTTTACACACAAGTTACATTCTGAATAATTTCTAATGATCACACTAGTTATAACAATCACAATCCAATTGCACTTATGATAAAAAAAATGCCAGAAGCGGAATTAAGCATAAGATGTATGTGAAAAATTCTTAGCGAATAGATTGGTCGTTTCACAAAATCTCTTTCCTTCTTTCGCCGAAAGGTGTCGATTTGCTTATACCATATACCTCCCAAAATGCGATAAACCTACGGCTCTAACGCATCTAATCACCTCTGGACTTCACCGTCGACTGAATTATTTGCATTGGAAGTTTCTTTCCTATCTTTATGCATCGCTGATCCGTTTGCCTCTTCGGGAAGAACCTGATCATCGACGCTTCTGCACATCCCCGCTCCAATAGGACGCCCCTCCCGTTGCAATCGGCTCCTGTCAGTCGGCGCCACCGGCACCGCACGAAGGGATTTCGCGTAGGGAGCGGCCGTCGATTCTCGTACGCGTCGTTTGTCTTTCCCCCACGGTTCAACATTTCAACCTTTTATTAACGTCAATATTTAATCCATTTAATGCGACGCAAGTAATTACAGGTCTCTTTTAAATGTTTCTTTTAGCCTAAGAACCACAACGCACCGGAATGTCAAAGACCATCACCGAGGTGTTACTACACACACACATACACACATACTGCTACTACACACGTCAGCTGCTGGAAAGTAAACCCGCTTGACTATCTGAACATATCAGGAGACTACTTGAACACTTATTCCCGCTTGATAATTAATTCCGCGATTCATTTCCCTTTGAATGTTTCTGGAGATTTTTTTTTTTTTTACAGGTGACACGTAAGATGTTTTCACTTTAAACGAAATTCAAAAATTTGAATTTACAAGATATGAAAATAAAATATATGCCACTAAAGCACACAAAGTAAATTCCCCAAAATGTTCCCCCCATTTTTTTATTCTAATCATTTGTAACGCACATATAACCAGACAGAGCAATTCAATTTGTGATTTTAACTGAGAGACGTAAAGCATATTTGCGCATATTTTCATTGTGAGCAGGAACAATACTTATTTAGCCATGTTCCCTCTTGCAGTTTGTAAATGGTGCAAATATACAAATACACCAGACAGAACAATGGTGGCCAATGTGATACAAAAGATGCACACTATGATAGCCTACAACTTAGCTTAAAATGATATTTAATTATAAAAATAACACTTAAAGTTAATAAGAATATACGTTATTAGATTGTATATACAATTAACAATACCCCTGTAATGTTGCAAAGCAATAAAGCCAGCAGGCAACTCACAAATTCCTTCAAAGCAATATGCTCCTGGTATTGCCATGCAAGTTTAATAGGTTATATAAGAAAACAAATCCCAGTCATTTCACATGCCCATATAACTACATTTTATCACTAATAAGATGTTACCAGTTTCAATGACATTGCAGAGAAAACGAAAGAGTAAATAAGTTTGTGAAAACGGGAGTTAAAATTAAAAAACAAAAATGTAAAGGATGGAATGTGATATAATGAAAAGGAAGAGACCTCCAAATTTAAAACCTTTCTCACAGGAGATTTTAAATAAAATGGACATTTTAGAACTCAAATTATTAAGTTTATTTTGAATCAATATCAGGACTGAAGATGATTAGTTATTGAAATGCCTAAATATTTAAAGAGGCCACTCATTGTTTTGTCCAATTGAATGAAGCAGTAGGCTTTAAAAGCAGCCTACCTGTAATCAAACTGTGTCCCTCTCTGCTTCTTGTTTTTGCGGAGGAGCAGGGAATTGATTTTGCCAGAACGAAAATCAAAGGTGGCAAGATCAAGTGCGTCGCCCAAGTACCGAGCGAGCTGAGGTTTGCTGCGAAACTTCTTCCCATTTGGACTGCAATAGTAAAACAACCAGTTTTCATTCACCCCATTTCTTTATCTACTATGGTCTGTGTATTTGAAAGTAAGACAACATTGACCCCTTACAATCTTATTTGTTTTAAAACCCTTAAGAGTAAAGATCATGCTAGCATGCTAAACAATCCTGCATGAAGAGGTGGGTTCACAACGCTATATACAATACTGAAGAATAACTTTAAGCAGAAAGTTCCAAGAGCATGGCAGAAGTTTATTGAGTCACATGGCATTACCAAGATAAAATGGTTACAGCAATAAACCGTTGGGTTAATAAGGATAGTCAATCTACAACCGTTTCTCATACACAAATTTTCCAAACTACCTGACTACCATTCCACACACCACAGAAAGCAGAAGTCTGCCCACAAATTAGTGAGGAAATGTTATATTCTTACGAGACATTTGCTCCAAGCTCTTCAGCTTCAGAGAACCTTCAAATATCACAGTGCTCTATCTGGTGTGTTCACTAAACACCACACATTGTTTCATATTGTGCATGCAAGACAATGAGTTGCACGATTTTTTTTTTTTTGTGTTCATAACAAATAATGAGAATATAAATATATGATCCAAACCCATTCAAAGGCATGCAGGAACTCATTATTGCATAAACTGCAGTCTGTACCTATAGTAATAAACGTCAACTTTGCCGGCAGAAATACCCGATTTTCTTATCACTTCTTCTCTTTGCCATCCTTTCGGTAGGGCACTGCATTCGAATTTCTTTTTCTCGACAGACATATCATTCAATACCTATTCAGCAACCAAGTAGTATCGTGTCCATACACATCGTTGTCAGTTCATTTAAAAGACGTCCGAAATTAACATGAAAGACATAAAAGTCACATTAAAAACAAATGTTTTTATGTAAATGGCTTGTTCCACTCGCTAATACAATAGTAACAGTCAAATATCACAATAATACACAACTTCGCCGGAAACAACATGTATCCCCAAACAAGAAACCAAAGCAATGATGGCTGGCTTCCGAAGCATTTGCAACTAGCGCTCCTGTTGGACGCGCCCTGACCAACACTTCCATCAAATTAACTTTTGTCTCTGCTTGCAGAATCATTATTTTGCTACTAGCCAATGGACTCCATTCCCATCAAGATAAGACAACCTAGAAATGTTCAGAAACCACCAGGCATTGGAAGAATCAAAAACGTTAAAAATAAAATTCGTGTTTGTTTCACATTGTATTCGGCCAAACGGAATTACGAATTTGCAAATGAATTTTAAATATCATTCTCAAGGTCCAATACATCTTATTCTTTATAATTTTTTTTTAGTACTATAATAATATTTTGCAAAAAAGATATATACAAAAACAAGAAAATAAAAAGTATTCATTTTCCAAGGCAGCAAATAATTAGACCTAGTACAATTCTTGTTAAAGAGTGTAGCTCCACTACTGGCAAAGTAGACTACTGCCTCGAACTAGAAGGGCGGATAGGGCGAAATTCTGGCAATTAAAATATTATCCAACAAAAACTCATTTGTCTTATTTTGTAGTAAGTTTGTCAGCTGAAAACTGTACCTATTGTTTTCATTGTTTGGCGGATAGGCGTGCGCACTGTGGCACAAGGGACCAGGTAGGCCATGCCCCCTTGAAAATATTGGAAGGGACCTCATAGCATTATGTAATAAAACATTTTATTTTATTTATACTTACACAACATATAAATAAGTTAAATTTCTGATTTCCCGTTTTTAACCTGACAATTAGGAGAATTCTAAGTTGTTTGGTGAAGACTGCCCCAGGACTAGCCAAGCTATGTGGCAACAATGTAAACGGTTCAATGTAATATCAATGGTATTTGTTGATTGTATCATTAAACCGTCCCACTTCATGCTAGTATAACATGTATGAGCTAACATGCTAGTACACAAGCTACGGGCCCGCGCTTTTTGAGACTTTGTGCTTTAACGGCACATCATTTAAAAATTTCACAAGTGAAGAGAAAAACGTTTTGCCATTATGAATTTCGTGAACCTTCTGAAAAAACGACTGAAACCAAAGTATATCTACAATGATGTTGCGTAAATGTTTCTTGAGTCTTGAAGCTTTATCCGCACGATTTCAATTACGATACCGACCTTATCACTAATCACATATCAATAAGAGTGAAATATGAGCCAGTATTAGCCGACAATGACCCAAGAATCTTTGATGAGTATGAGTATTGAACACGAACTACTAAAAACTAGTGCAAAAACAGTACGTACTTTCTCGCCATTAGTAAAGATTACGTAATACTATTTATACCACAATTTTTCTCCGAATGTTTTTTGTGAAACTCAATTGAAATTGTAGAACATTTGGTGAGCAGAATAACCAAAATGCAAGAAAGTATATATTTAAAAGTTAATAAATAATACGATACTGAGAGCGTTGGAAAATAAATAGATCGAAAAATTTAAAATAGTAATTATTAAACACTACGATATTGTAATATTCTACAAATATTCAAAAGTATTCGTTTTTAATTCCGCGAACTAAACGCAGCTATCGTGATATCTGTGCGGAGCCGCGTTACGGCAACCAACAATGACCGCTCATCTATTCATTTTCACATTTAACATAATTCATTAAAGGTTGAAATTTAAAATGAAATACCATATATATGAAATAAATAATAATAAAATAATGAAATAATATTCAAATTTTAATCTACGTAGCATCCAACTGCATTAACTGGGACTGGGAGACTGAGGGCAGAAATCTTTTTTCCAAATAGCTTTTAATAACTTTAAAAAGATTAATTTGTAAAGTATAACAAAAGCTTCCATTTAAGAAACGAACAAAGATACATGAAATACTATACTACACATTCGAACACACGTAGCTTCCAACTGCCCAACCTAAAATTACGATCACGAAAAGCAGTATTTTCAGAGCGGGCGACTGATTTTGACGCCCAATAATTCTAAAACTACAGTTTCAAAAAATTCAACATGACCTTATTTGAAAATCTGTTTTTGATTAACATATTTCATTTAAAAAATGTATTGTAGTTGTAGTTGAAGGAAGGCACCGAAAAAAATTCGAATTTTTCAATTGTCGAAAAAACAGGGTTTTCAACCAACATGAGACATGCACTACTTTCTTAAATGTCATTCAGACTCTCCACCCACAAAATTTCTTAACAAAAACCAAGGAGCCATTTTAGAGAAAAAATTGTTAAACAAAAATTAAAAATTGCCTATATTTCACGCAACATTATGCGAAAAAAACTCAAATTTTTAAAAAAATACACATGCCTTTATTTTAAAATCTATATTTATAAAACAGATTTTTTAAGGGAAAAACTATATTTTTAATATTTTAGTTAGAGGAAGACGCCGAAAAAAATTTTTGGATTGAGCTATTAACGAATATGAGACCTGCGCCATTATCTTAAACGTCCTTCACACTATCCAATAACAAAATTGTTTGCGCCTTTTTTTTATTTTGAAAATGTTCCAGAGGCTTCTTTAAAAGATACCTCCAAAATTAAAATATCAATTTCAAATTCAAGGAGCTGCGATATCAGTCACATCGATAGGGGATTATCAATTTTGGAGAAATTCGGCTGAACGGTTTATCCCCTAGCTTTCGCAGCGTTGCATACGAAGCTAACATTAAAAGGCGACTGTTTTGTATGTTTATGTGAACAAGGTGTTAAGTTTAATAAGAATAAGTTGTGTGTCACATTCATTTGAAAACCTGTATTTGCACACCTATGTAAGAACGTACAAAAGTGCGAAGTCTAACGTAAGAACATTCATTCATTCTCTAGCATTACTCACAGTTTTGTTTTCTCCATATTCACTCGAAATTCTTCAAGTTTAATAAGTTTAATTATTTTTTAAAAATATGATAATTCGAATTTAAATTGAAATCAAACTGCAGCGCGATTATTTGGTAATTCACTTAAAGATGTCAACATCAGTGATGCCAACGACGTGAAGAGAAAAGTATGGCATATAAAGCAAAAATGTCTTTGCGTACTAGTATTTAATCAACGCATCTACATAGATCGTATAGGAGGCGTTGGATTAATTCTTATTAGCACTAAGATCGCAGCGCCAAAACACGTTTTTAGACATTTACTTGAATGTTCTAGTTCGATCCGAAAACAAATTAGCAGTTCTTCATCAAGAGACCGACACGCGTCGAGCGGCGTCGAGTGACACCTCATACGTTTCTATTGGCGTACGGGAAGTGATCTAGCCGGGAGTGAGGGATCGCACACATCCGCACACTCAAGAGTTTTACTCGAATACTATATAGGGATGAAAATATTTCACTTAAACTATACGAAAGCATTTTTTTACTTTGTCTACTAGATACTGTTTTTTACTTCAAAATCATATTTATGTCAAAGAAAATGCAAAAATATCCCAATATTGACCCAGAACTTGGCCCAGAGTATTCTTAACTTCTTGGAATCACCATTCATTTTACGTTCGCAATGCGTCGGATTTGGAGCGGGTGACTATGACACCAAATAACAACATAAATCAATACTCGTATTTTCTAAAATTTTGGCATGACCTTATTTGAAGATCTGCTTTTTTGATGAACACATTTATTAAGAGAAAAATGTATCTTGACAATTGTAGTTGTAGGATGACGTTAAAAATTAAAAAAAATCTTTTGAAAAATAAAGCATTTCAACGAACACGAGACCTGCACCATTCTCTTACGTCCTTCACAATATCCAACAACAAAATTTAGTCAAAAACGATGGAGCCTTTTTTGTTGAAAAAAATGAACATTTCCCAGGGTCTTCATTTAATGTACACTCAAAATATCGATTACGATATCGATTTTAAGTATCGATTTCAAATTCAAGGGGCCGCGACATCAGCCAAATCGATTGGGGTAAGACTTTTGAAGAAAATCGTCTGAACGTTTTAGGCGCTTCCGTAGTTCACAATCAGACGGACATACATTTTGTCGTCAATCTATATTTTGGTATGAAGCACCCACAAAAATGGATTCTGACTAAACGACGTGTTAGAGAACTTTTCCAAAATTTAGCATTCGCATATTCTTCTCAATAGTGCAAGAGATTCGTATGGAAATTGACGGACTCTTTTCATCTCGCGTCGAAGATTTCGCATCATGTGATTCATCGCTAGATGAATTTTCACCACTGACGTATGTTTCTTTTGGAAAGAGATCAACCTTCAACAAGGCCATCGTTTTCGAGTTCTACATGTTCGTCATGTAAGTAGTTTGATCGAAGAACATACTTCGCATTTCTCTGAATGACAGCAAGTTGTTCTGCTGTGAAATTTCCACTGCTGAGAATGTATAGTCGTTCACCGAAAAGCTTCTTTGAATCTAGGGAAATTTTCATATCTGGGTTCCGCTCTCTCAATTTCTTGAATACTTCTACCTCCGAGCCCCAATTTTTATCTTCGCTTAGTAAAAGCACCATATCACTTCCTTCAATTTATCCCGTGTCCATCTCTGATGATGGCTTCGAGCTACTGCCGACTCTGGGTCCCTGGGACTAATATCCGTGGGATAGCCAGACGTCGAGAAAGTGGCATTAGTTCAGTTCCTGGGCAAGTATGGGACATTGGTATAACAAGGCACGTTAAGATTCATTTCATTTATTGTTCTATCCATTTTGCTCATGGTTTCAAGCGCAGATTCGCAAGGAAGCAAGTTAGAGTTCACAGATCACACGTAACCCATGGGTTATTTCCTGTCATTCG